TATGCTGTCTGGGTTAATACTTTTAATCTTAACAGTACTTTGCGTAAGTATTTCATCACTTAGCAAAGTATATATTAGTATTTAAATATTGACAATGCGTATTGATTTCTGCGTAAGTATTTTATCACTGGACGAAGTGATAAAATACATATCAATATTTATATAAAGTACATATCAATATTTAAGTATTGAAATCAATCATAAGGTAGGATTTGTAACATTAAATATTGAAATACTTGAGTACTAAAAGCTATATTTGAATCACAGAATATTACTATATACTGTACTTTTAATACTGAAAATAAGTAATTAATGAATGATTCTTAGTATGATATTTTTATAAGGAAAATTTTCGCGAATCCCCCTTATAGAAATATCATACTAAGAATCATTGATAATTACTTATTATCCAGTATTTTTAATACTGAAAATAAGTAATTATCAATGATTCTTAGTATGATATTTCTATAAGGGTTGCTTAACCTGACGATCGAGCGGCACGCGGTGTTCCAATGACTCCAATGATGTTCTTACAATTTATGCTTATAAAATGTATACTTACAGTGTTCACAGTATATTATAACGTACCTAGCAAATGTACACGCGTTGATTCGCCTGTCTATTTTATTTAATATCTCTAAAGTTTATGTAGTTATTTGCAAAATGACTTTGATCATTCCTTCTATTAATAGTTTAATGTTTTTCGAGTAATCTGACATTTCTATCTTTGTAATACCCTTACAGAAATATCATATTAAGAATCATTGATAATTACTTATTATCCAGTATTTTTAATACTGAAAATAAGTAATTATCAATGATTCTTAGTATGATATTTCTATAAGGGTACTATAATTGAATCGGAAATCTAAAAAAAAAAACTGACGTTTCCTTTTAGAATAAATTTTTTATACAAAACGCGTGCAATCTCAGTGAGAAATGACTTATTTATCGACGTCGAAATCGTCAAATAGACGTCGATTCGACGTCTTTTCGAGATTGATCGATAAGTCATTTCTCGCTGGGATATTAGATGTTGATTCAATATCGAATAAACATCCCTTATAGAAATATTATACTAAGAATCATTGATAATTACTTATTATCCAGTATTTTTAATACTAAAAATAAGTAATTATCAATGATTCTTAGTATGATATTTCTATAAGGGATCTAGAGAGATTGTAAATAATCGACAAAATAAAATTTCGAAATTTTATCGAAAACTCTCTTTTAATGGTCAATATATTATGAATGGATTCTAAAACATTAGAATTTACTCAAAATAGAAGACATCTAAATTGCCATTTTTCTAGACGTGAATTTAGACTAGACGTAACTTAGACTTTTTCGACGTCGGTTAAACGTCAAATCGACGTCTACGTTCTCGCTGAGAAAATTCCGAAATTTTATCGAAAACTCTCTTTTAATGGTGAATATATTATGAATGAATTCTAAAACATTAGAATTTACTCAAAATAGAAGACGTCTAAATTGCCATTTTTCTAGACGTACATTTAGATTAAACGTAACTTAAACTTCTCCGACGTCGGTTAGATGTCGAATCGACGTCTACGTTCTCGCTGAGCTAGTTAACTTCATTTTTAACAACTTCCTGCTCACATGATGTAACGTTATTCCATGTTCGATTTTATGCTGCTTCTTATTGATGTTATATAAGCATGTTTAAATGTTAAAATGTTTAAATTTTTATTTTCCTGTATTGACATATTGTACCTTATTCTTGCAGTATTTCTACTATCATATCATGACCAGATTCTGTTAGATTTCTGTTTCATTTGTACGTATACACTCGTGGTCTAAAAGGTTTGTGTACCGATTTTTTGTAGATTTTGGAACGCGTCCCAATTTCAGGAGAGAGACAACCACTGCTTTAGAGATCCTTTAATAAGAGGTCGGACACCGTCGCCTGTAGATATTAGATTCGCCATGTTTGGATCCAAACCGAAAGTATACTTATCTTACTTTAACTTATTGCACCAGTTCAGCAGTGCAGCCAGTGCAGCCAGTGTAGCTGAAAAGAACAGACTACTCCTTGTATTGTCATTCAGCTAATGATCCTAACCGGAAGTGTATTCCAAACATGGCGCAGCCAATCAAAACGTTGACATATGGTGTCCTATCTCTTATTACGGGGTCTCTACACTGCTTGACACGCCAGCGCCGCCACTTATTAGCTTACACGAAAGCTATAGAACCGCAAGTAAAGAGAATCGCCAACTTGGTCACGTGACCAGCTGATTGACTGGCATAAATATATACGGATTTAGACATACGGATTGCGACATCAATATAGACAAATGCTTACATTTATTATGTATATATGGTTTTGCATCGGCGTCGCAATGTCCAAATCCGTACATGTTTATGCCAGCCAATTGCAGAGTAGTTGAGTAGCTGGTCACATGACCAAGTTGGCGATTTTCTTTACTAGAGGTTCTCTAATGGCTCCTGTATACAGGATGCGATAATGCTTGCCGCGCGGCAAAAGTTCATGCGACAGCCGATCAATATGCTGCTTTCCGTAATAACCTTCTAGCTCTTATGGAAAAATAACATATTGATTGGCTGTTGCGCGAACTTCCGCCGCGCGGCAAGCATTACCACGTCCTGTATGCAGAAGCTATAACGAGAGCAGAAGGATGGCATATATCGTATATGCCATTCTTTTGCTCTCGTAATAAGTGGCAACGCTGGCGTGTCAAGCAGGGGAGCGTCCCGATTGATCACGGTACGATTGGACACAACCAATCGATGAAAAGAATTATCTAGTGAATTACTAGGTCGAACTAATCATTACAATCTGTGTCCAATCGTATCCCACTCGTGGTCAATCGGGTCCCACCCGTCAAGCAGTGGTTGTCTCTCTCCTGAAGTTGGGACGCGTTCCGAAATCTACAAAAAATTGGTGCACAAAGTTTTAGACCACGAGTGTACTCTCTGATACGACAGATCATGCTTTGATACTGCCCAAATTATGCCAGCATAACATGTAGCATACGTTTAGCAAAACCTGACTTTAGCAGGCTTGTCTATCTGGGTTTGTAACTTTTCATACGAAATACAAACGATACCATACCGAACCTTTGTTTAATTTACCTCCGGTCATTATTTCCGGCTAAATATATGGTCCAAAAAAGAACAATTAATTACAGGTAATAAAATGACTCATAAATTTTTTCAATTGCACTTCA